CTGTCTACAAATAAATCTTTCCGGTCAGTGCACTGGGAAACTTAAACCCGTCTTTTCTGTTTGGCATCTAATCTGCATTCCAGTTCCTGGGACGAGAATTGGGAACTCGGCACTCCTGTGTCACTGTGCAGTCTGCAGCAAGGTGTTTGTTTATGGCTTTTTTTTTATTATTATTTTCTCAGTAAACCTGTCTTGTACAGGAAAATGCTTGGATTCAGAATGGAGCAGAGTCAGCATGCATATTTATCTCACCACCAGAGCTGTTGACAAGCAATATATAATTTCCAGTTCTTCTAGTAAAGACTGAGTTCTAAGGACATTTTTAGGATGAAAGCTGGGATGCTAGTGCTGCATTTGTCTAACAAGCAGAACCAATTTTGATTAACTTGAGTTGGTCTAGCCTTTTTGGCCACAGGGGCTGGACTAAGCTGGGACAGCTCTTGTGGGTTGATACTCCTTTACAGGCCATGCAAGAAGCCTTTATCCTCTGTAAGACAAGCCTGGTTGTGCCCATAAGGGGAGCGGGAACTTACAGGGGCTGCTCCTGCCCTGCTGCACAAGGGTGGGAAAGTGTGAGGAGCACTGAATGCTGGTGGATGGTGCTGTCTGTTTGGTTACAGTGCATAGGAGGAGGTGTCTGGGGCAGCAGTTTCTCCCTAAATAGCTGTATTCCCACCTTCTTCGAGAAGGGAAAAAGTGACAGGCTAAATGGAGTCAATCTTGTGGACTGGCACTAACTGGTGAGTTACCTGTTGGATCTGGCTGACTTGACTGATGAAGTAGCAAAGGGCTGGAAATGTGCCTGCTAATGGATTTAGTTTGTGCCTTTGGGCCAATTTAGGAAATGATGGTTTAGGCCCCTTAATCTATGATGTTACTTATTTCTTTTGAAGAATATGGACCTGAAAAAGTCAAATTATCACCATTCTTTACCATTTCTCTGGCTGAGCAGGTGTTTTGTAAAGGCATAATAAATGAGAAGGTATACACAAAGCTGAAAGCCTGCTTTAATATTTTGTTGGAAATGTTGTGTACAGTGATCTTCTGAGGTGATGATGGCAATGATGATTTTATTGCTGCTATTGCCAGGTTTGTGTTCAGGTTAATTCTTTGACCTTTCCATAGGTGTAGCAAATAGAATAGGAATAGCATAAGCAGTTTCAGACTGTTTGCGCCTGCACGTGTGCACATTGGGTTAAATATTTCTTAAAGCATTCCTGAGACTTTGACATTCGTAAAGCTGGTTAAGATACTGTTACCTGAGACATGACCTCTTTATATTGATTCACTTACGACTTACGCTTGCCATAGTTCGCCTGCCAGACTTTAAAATTGAGTATATATTCTTTTCAGGTAGGTTTGGATAGATCCGAGCTATAATGAAAAGAAAGGAATTTTTTGTGCCCTTTAAATAGTACATTCCTATCATCATAATCTGCCACGTCTAGAGGAGGAGAGGGATGAAAAATTAATTTAAGAGTCAAGACAAGTTGAAAGAGGAAGGAACATGTAATTTTATATTAATGAATATTTAACTTAAATGCCTAATAAAACTTTTCTTGGAAATTTTACATTTTAGCACGGTCTTAGTTCTTAAGGAAGGTGCAAGTGATAATTGGAAGGTGCAAGACAGATATATTAAAGTGATTCTTAGCTTATTTCCTTATACTGGGAGAATTTTACTTTTTTTTGTCTACTAATCTGTTATCCATGGTTTTAAAAAAAAAAAAAAAAAGAAGAAAAAGAAGTGTTGTTTTGAGTTCTCAAATTAACAGTGACTAGCAGTGTAAATAATGATTTTGTTCTATAAATAAGTACACATCTTTTTGTAGCTTTTCATGAGAAGCACCGGACTCTAAGTATTGGAAAACAGTGTGAATGCCTCCCTATTTAATCTAGTATTATGCATATTTTAATTATGAACTTTGTTTTTATTTTTGCCAATCAGAACTACAGCTCTGTAATTCAGTGTTAAATTTACCAGTCACATCTTGATTGACAGTTTCCATTTATATACATATAAACTCATGTACATGCTCATTTCAGTGAAGAGGAAATATTCCTCTTGTATTTTTATATATGGGCCTGGTATGAAGCCCTGTGAGAATGAGTGAAGATCTACAAAGCCTCACTTCAAGAAATACTGAAGAGCCACATTGTTTAACCCAGACACAGAAAGCAAAGGGGGTGACAAATCATAGATACCTGTATGGCAGGCAAGATATTGCTGGAGAGACATCTGTTAACAAAAGTGTAAGTTGTGCAAAATGTGAAATGTCTTTTTTGGAAGGAGGGGATGCTTGTTTTTCTTTTAATGAAAGAGTTACTGGCATATCATACCACTGGCAGCAGTGGAATCTGTTTGTTGGCAGTTGTTAAAGGAACATCCCATTTTGATTTAAAGATTATTTTCTGCTTCAAACAAATTCCTTTGGTGGTTCCCATGGTTAATGCTGCACAGGAGTGTAGCAGACCAAGTGATTTGCAGCCAGCCCTGCTGGTTTATAAACCACAGCCTTTGCTGTGTGGCTTTTTTTTTTTTTTCCTTTTTCCTCATTTTTTTTCCTTTCAGTTACATCAGGGTGGTTTTCTTTGACTCCGACTTCATGTTCAGCGTGCATTCACTGCCTGTTGATCTTACGTTTCATTTTTTTTGTGTAAAAGCTTAAACAACTATAATAAGCAACTTGTCGTTAGCTATTTAGTTTTGACCTTCTGACCATATAAGTACTCAGTTGCTACTCTTAAATGCTTTTAAATGATTCCACTACCCATGGTGCTCATACCTCCTGGCAGCTAGCATCATCCTCTCTGAGTTTTGCCCTGAGGAGGCCTCACAGCTTTCTCCCTCACTTTGTCAGAATAGAGGAAACTGTCAGAAATAATTTAACCTTCTTAAAGTTTTCTAATATAGGACTACTCTGTGATTTCCGCGAGCAGTTCTGTGATCTGACTTGTGAGAATCCTTGTGATCAGCCAGGAGAGATCCTTCAGTGCTAGGTGCTTCTACTGTATCCCACAAAACTCCTTCTGGTGCTTGATTCATAAATGCTGTTTCCTTTCAGCCCCTAAGAATTTGCGGGAAGTTTTGGGAGCCTGACAAAATTTGAAGAACCTGTGTATCCTAAAAACTGCCCTGGAGACCCTGGTAATTGCTTGAGCAGTTAGGATATATATGCACAGGCTGCCAGGCGGGCTAAATCCGTCCTAGAACCACTGTTTGGCTCCTGTTTGGGGCATTTGACTGCCCTGGCTCTCTTTTGGTGGGAGCGGAGCCAGCCCAGCTCCAGCTGCCAAGAGCATTTCAGGATATCTCTTTGCTGGGCTGGAGAAATGGCAGAAGTTGCTCTGTTATCTTTCCCCCACCCTCCAGCTCAACGCAAGGGTCTCCTGTGTTGTGGTTAGCTGTCGCGGTGCTGCTGTACACTTTTGAAAGATGAAATTGTCAGGTTTCCTTTTTTTTTTTTTTCTCCCACCAAGGGTGCACTGAAGGGTGCTTTTAAGTGTTTTTGACAAAATCAGGAAATGGGTGCAGAAAGAAAAAGTTTAGGCCGCGAGAACAAGTGTTCTGAAGTTAGGAAGTATCTGTTGTATAGATGACTGTGCAACATGCAGTTTGGCCCAGACTTGCCAGCTGTTTGGGTTTCCAGTTAGCTACATAGGTTAACATGCTGCCGGGGCTGTTCAAAAATCTGGGTTGCTTTGGTTACAGTGAATTGTCAGGATGACTCCCATAGTAATCCCTGCATCGCTCCGGGGGTGGGTGGGAGCAGACAGCGCTGTTCAGATTTGTGTTGTGGCAGATCTCTAATACATCCCTCTTGTGTTTTACTGTAAGAACTTTTCAGAAGTGTTCCAGAAGGCTGGTTTAAGCCTGCAATGTTTTATCTGAAACTTTTCATATTTGAAGAGGGGAAAAAAGAAAAAAAAAAAGAGAGAAAGCTTTCTGTTGTATTGAAGGTGGGCTTCCAGGGGAGCTTCCAGCTGCCTGGACTCCTGGCAGCTCAGCCCCGTGCCTGTGCTAAGCCCAGTCCTGGGCACAATTTACTCTGTGGGTCTGCCTTAAGACTGAGAAGAGAAGGATCCCACCTGGTCCTCCACAGCTCCAACACTCTTGCCATCTTTTACATGCTACTGTTTCATTCAAGAAGTTCCAACCTTTGCTGAAATTTCACATGTTTTTTAAATTTTAAGTCGTTTGCACCAAACCCAACCCTGCTCCATCTCCGGTGAAATTTCATATAAACTAGAAACTATGTTTTCTGGCCAGATCTAATAAGCTACTGTTTTCTGTCTTATAATGGCATATTGCGTCCTTTTTCTTTCTCAGTATTACAGCTGTGAGGCCATTTATCGTAAGTGCACTGGTGGGTGCTCACCCAGTCAACTAAACCTCTTGTTTCTTGACTTTACACCTCTTGATTTTGTAAGTTAGGTTAACTTAAAGTTTTCTTAAAGTACTTAAATGTAAATATTTGGAAATTTATATATATATCTCAATGCCTAATGGCTTTAACTGTGTGTTAAAAGATTGTATTATTATTATTTGCTACTCAGTAGTCTATTCTGCAGTTGTTTGTAGTGTTTCTTGCTGCAGAAATTTTTGTGCTCCCGAATGAAAATTGTTTGTCCTATGCCTCATTCTCGTGTTCAGTCATTGGGACTGTCAACCTGATCTCCTGATCTACAAGACTGGCACAAGCAAAGCAGTTGAATGAAGTTTGGCTGCAGCCTATAAATTTCTGAAATTTCTGTGTTTGTTTTTGATTTAATTTTCCTGACACTAGACTGAAATAAGGGATGGAAATTTTGAAAGCTTAAACTCGGAGATGTGATTTTTTTTTTTTTTTTTTTTGAATTAGCACTTAAGACTCCTAACTTGCATGCTTTTCCTTTATTTTTACCCCACAGCTTGCTTGCTTTTTTTCTTTTTATTGCTGATGCTAAAGTGACTTGTCAGTCTGGCTACAGAAACCTAACCCATGCTTTTTTTTTCTATAGGCACTCAGTGTTACTGAAACTCTGATCAAACCTTTGGAAAGATTTAGGAAAGAGCAGCTAGGAGCTGTAAAGGTTTGTCCCTCATTGCCTTTCTGATAAGTTTGTTTAATTTCTGTACTTGGATTGCATTGCAGTAATGACATGTATTTGGCAGAGAGATCCTGTTGTTTATATTTCATGTATTCATAGTTGGGTTTTTTTTTTCTACTTTGAGAACTTGCTTCAGACACAAATGGAAAGTATGTTTCAAGAAGAGAAGAATGTGTTCTTTCCCTTCCTTCTCTCCTCCCTCTCCCTTATCTCTTGTGTCTGGAGTAGGAGCAATCCTACTAACAGCCTGCCCCACTTCCTAATGGTAACCCCATTCTGCTTTGTATTTGCTTGCAGTTGCTCAATTAAAGGCTGAAAAATATTAACTGCCCGAAGGAGCTTACTCATCCATGTGCTTTTAACAGTATTTTTGCAACCTGCAAAGTCAAAATTGCCTTTATTCTTTTTTTTTTGTTTTGAATAAATAACTCATTTTGCCTCTGAGTGGGAAAAAAGTAGGGATGGAGAAGCTAAAGACAAGATCTCATTCAAAGTATTTTTTTTGTAAGCGTTCAGTAATCTTTTTGTTTAAGATTGTCACTTTGTTGTGTATACACACACACATATATATATCTATATATAAAAAGGCAAAGTAAACTTCATGTATTAAATGCAGACTAGCTTTGGATAAAAGAGGAAGGACAAGGTTGACCTCTTTCTACCTGTCTACCTTCCTTCTTCCAGTGAGAAATTGAAATGCTTATTTAAAAAAAAAAAAAACCAAACAAAACAAACAAACAAACAAAACCCAAACAGTTTTCTGTTGCAAAACTCAATTCATACTTTTCTAAACTACCACTCTGCAGATATTTTGTTTTATAATTTCATGACTCCATCAGCAGTAATACTTAATATCTAAGATAATGTTTCAATTACAAGAGTGCTACACATTTTGACTTCAGCAAGAATAAAAACTTGGTCTGTAATATAGGGAGTGTTTCAAGGAAAAAGAGAATTTGTTCTAAGTGTAGCATATTGTCATAGAAGCAGCTGTAATGAATGGATTATTTCAGCAGTATTTTTCGTTTTAAAAAAAATTGCTGGTTTTAGGACGAGAACTCCTAATGCTTTAAATTATCTCATGATATTCACTCATTTCCTAGTTAGAATTCTGTCCCTGATGTTTCTAACGTGACAAGTTACGTTCACACAGTCTAGATCTCGCGTTTTGTTTGGATGGATGTTTCTTCCCTTGTGTCTCTGCATACTGTTTCTGTGAAATTGAAGCTCTTATTTGTGATTTAGCTATTTTTTTTGGACAGAATTCTCAGTGACCTTAAATAGAGCAGTCTTGCATAATTGTATGACATTTAAATAAAACTTCTCTAAAAATATTTAGCTCATTGAATGCTTTTAACTGAATATTCAGTGTAATTGCAGTACTGACACTGGAGATATAATACTGATTATCTCTTAAAACCAAGTTATGGCATCGAGTAGCGATATATATCTGGAACGTTGTATAGTATTTGCTTTAGGAAAAAATTACACTCTACCATAACAAAATAAAAGTTGAATCTGCTGTTTCAGATTTTCCTGTATCATACATCCCCTGCTGATGAAATGGTCTGAGTTAGGCTTGAGAAGAAAAAGTAAAAGGAGTTGCTGCTCTAATCCCAAACTATACGTGTAAAGTTTCTGTCTGTCCCTCTTCCAATACATTGTTTTTGATGATCAGAGAAATGGATTTGCACATGCAAGCGATATTCCTATGTGTCTGTGAGAGTTTCTCTTTTGCTAGCATGATTTTGCATTTTATAGAGTTTTTTCTTTAATGTAAAAAGTTTTTCTATTTTTCATGGGCGCAACAACAGTTTGCTAGAAGCAGCGATTCAGCACAGAGGTCTTTGTATGGCTTTAAAAATCAAGAAATCCTATGGAATATGGAGCTACATTTGCTTTGGGTTTTGGACTGTGGAACTGTTAGAACTTTTCCCCCATCGATTGTGGAAAGTTCTTTTTTTCAGTGAAACTCATATTTCCCTTGGAGTCCTCTATTCAAAAACAAGATGATGTGGATGATCCCTGAAAATAATGAAAAATGCAATAAATCAGGAAGAGTGGGTTTTTTTGGCTTTTTTAGCTTACACGATATAAGCATTCATGTGATAAGCTTCACCATGATGATGCAATGGGATTTTGTTTCAAGTTAGCCTTTAAATTATTTAAAAATTAGTTGGAAACATAATTTTCCTTAGTTTTTGGAGCTATGATAGTTTGTTTCTGATTAAGTAGAATTTTAAAAGAAGAAAGGAGGAGGCTTTTCTTGCATTTTTATATATAAATGAATGTTATTTTTTTTTCTGTGTCTAGGAGGAAAAGAAGAAGTTTGATAAAGAGACAGAGAAGAACTACAGTTTGTTAGAAAAGCACTTGAATTTATCAGCTAAGAAGAAAGAGCTACAATTACAAGAGGTATTGTTGCCTTTCTTTTTTTATGCAAGCTAAAGGCTTTTGAATAGGTAAATATATTTTATGGGAATGCAAAACCAGCATTCACAGTGATAAAAGAAAAATTTCTGTCAAACAGAGAAGTTGGTGAGAAAAATCAGTATTTGCCGAACTTATTGGTGTACCTCTACAGTTTTCTGAATTGAGGGCTTTACTTGGCGTGGGTATGAAGCAGTGAACATCATGTTAATTTTTTTAATATAATGAAGGAAATAGCAAAGTGCAAGTGTATTGTGAGAAATTCTGCATTTCTTATGAGACTTTACGTGTAATTTGCATTACGTTGTATGTATTGACTAAGTGTCATGTGTTAATGCTTAGTGCAAAGTACAGCAAGACTTGTATTCCTGAAGGAAGTGTTTCTGTGCTGCTTTTTTTTCTTCTCATGTTTTGAAGATCCATTTTTTTTAAGTAATGCTACAAAAAAGTTTGTTTTGTGCTGCTTTTTTTTCTTCTCGTGTTTTGAAGATCCATTTTTTTAAGTAATGCTACAAAAAAGTTTGTTGACAATGTATAACTTAAAAACAGTGCTGTTTTGCCTGGCATTCATTCTGTCCCTGTGGGTTTATCATGATCATCCTTACTTGTAATGGCTTTTACTTCTTGAGCAACAGCAAATAGTATGTGAGAAGACAACAGAGAAATCTTGCAGAGACATGCTGTAGTCAGAAGGATTTTTTTTTTCAGAGAAATTTAACTGTGTCAGAATTATTAATGCTTAGTCTATTAATACCTTGTATCATTAAACACTTAATGTTTTCCTCAGAAAGAACTCTTCTCCCTGCCCTCCACCCCACTCTGAATAATCTATGCCATTTTTCATTAAAAATGTTTAATGTAACTGGCAACTTAGCTAGGAGCTTAAAAATTCTAATTGTTCTTGAGTTTCACTAGGATATTACTTCTCCAAACTGCATTTGCATATGCATTAACAAATGTCTTTTGGGAAGTTGAGTTGTCCTGGAGAAGTTAATGGGTGTAGCTCATGTGTCAGGACCTTTACTTTTATCAAATTGATCAGCTGCCAAAGAACTTGATGCAGGAAAAAATGAAAAAATATTAATTATGGTCTCTGAAATGTGGTTCTCAATATCATCAAGTAAAAGTCTGAAATAAGACCTAACCTCAATGGAAAAATACAAAATGCCTGCAAGAGGCATTTTGAAGCTGTATCGAATATAGTCTGAAGTTTTGAAGCATATGTGAAGACTAGATAGAATGAGCAAATAGAATTGTATATAATTGCACAGGAGCTTCCTAATTTAGAATCATACATGGCTAGTTGTGTCAGTTCCTGGCTGGAATAAATAAAGGATGCAGGTATAAATTTGACAAAAAATTTGATGAAAAACATGCCACGTTGTGGAGCGTGTCTTATGTTAAGATAGCCTTTGGCTCTCTTGGTGGAGGGATATTCGCTGAGGCACAGTGTGTGTCTTATTTCTGTAGCAACAGTGAGTGAACTTGCTGGGTGCACAGGGAGGCTCATGCCTCAAAAAACCCAAGAGGTGATAATTTATTTACAGGGGAATTGAGAGAATTAGTAAAATGGCTGTTATGTTCCTGGAGGGGGTGGAGGCAACCAAAGCAATAAACCAAAAAACAAAGAAGAGAAAGAAAAACAGGCTTACCTGGGGCTTTGGTGTAGCTAGGGCAGTCTTGCTATCAATTAGCCAGATGTCCTAGGAGACCCACTTCGTAGTCTTTTTCTATGGCTGTCCTTCAGTACATGTATATATAATTAGGAGCTTTGATGACAACTCAGTTCCTTTGTTGCATGATTTATAGGATGCATCAAAATGGTTTGGCTTTTTGAAACATTTTCTTACTGATGTGCGTGTCCGTGTTTTATTTTTTCAATGGCATTTGTTGTTATGTCCCTTTAACTGCTGAGTGATTTCTAGCACAGAGTAGCAAAGCGAAGCATGTCTTAAGGCAAAACTGTCTTAAAGCTAATTTGACTTATCCTCTTAAGGCATAGCAGTCACTCTTCTCCTTGAAGGATATAGTCTTAGTATTTAAGAGAGTATATGATAGTAAGTCTGATCCTTTCCCCTAACCCCTTCTCCATTCCCTTTTGTGATTTAGTGTAGAAGCATTTGGTATTATCACATGGACAATGACTAAGTGTTAATCACTTAAGAGTGTCCCTTTGTACCCTTGCTTTAATGCATTTTAATAACAATGTCAGTTACTGGGTTCTTGAAGTTTTACAGTTTAGTGAGGGCACATGTACCTTAAATAATAATTTAATGAAATAATACATATATGCTAGAAAGTTAAATATTTATGTACGGATGAATGGCAGCTGAAATATAACTGTTCACCATCAATATGGTGTTGACGTTTCATCAAAGTTGAGCTAAAAAGCAACTGCAACTAATATGGCTGCATTTTAAAATATTTGATGCTCAGTGGAAATTTGTGATAAGTAAACTTTTATTTGTTGCTTTTCTTGCCAGTTAGAGTAAGCACAGGTATGGGATGGGTACAACAGCATTCTGCCTATTTACGGCAGTTATTTGGGTTAAAGAAAAGCTTACAGTACCAGCAATGTGGTTTTCAACACTAACATTTTCTTCCTTAGTTTAACCGATTTCCCCCTTTTCTAATGGAAGATGTTGCTAGCTCCCTTTCTCTGGGCAGTCACCTTTTCAATGTAAAGCAGCGCACAAGTACCTGGTGTGATGTATTTGCTGTGGATTCTATAGAAAAGAAGCTCAAAGAGGTGTTACTGGAATGTTTCTGAAAATTTAGCCTCCTGATTCAAAGCAACATATGTTACCTAGTAAAAGGGAGTTGCTGCTGCCATTTAAAAGTAAATGAACGAGCTGTGTTGTGAAGGGACAAACCCCAGTCTGGAGAAAATTATCTTGTTGCTTGCCACTTGTGTGCTATACATATGTCATTTTGAAGCTGTCTGCAAAATGTCTCTGAAACTTCATTAGCTGTATTCTGTGTGCAGGCAGATAACCAAGTGGAGCAGAATAGAAAACACTTCTATGAGCTGTCCCTCGAGTATGTATGCAAGTTGCAAGAGATACAGGAGCGGAAGAAATTTGAGTGTGTGGAACCTGTAAGTACTAGTGAATTCAGCCTATCCTGTCATTCATAAGGGACGGAGAAGGAATGCAACTGAACAAAAGCCAAGGAGCTCTGTTTTCTCAGAAAACGTATGCAATTGTGTAACTTAACAAGAGTGCTTTAAATTCTGTTACATCTGTGCAGATTCCTAGTACAGATACAGTTAACCAGACATCTTAAAGCTTACCTCAGTAATTGAATTGATTTGGATCCACTGATTGATTTGCAGAAAATGTGTGAAACCTTGTACCTGCAACAACCTCAGTTTATAGTGTGGGTTATAATAGAGGATTCAAGATGGCGATGTTTGGGTCAGACTTTTTGCATTTGATTTTTTTTAAATTTTTTTTTTAATCACTGAAATGTTATTTCTAACTTACATAAAGAATTTTGTTTTCAATATGAAGGTTGCACTTAGAGTCCGGTTAGCCAAGAAGTGCAGATCTAAATTAATTAAGAGGATGCTCCTGGCTAAAAAAGCTTATCAGGTCGTCTGATATGTTTGATTTCGATTGCAGTTGAATCTGTGCAGAAATCAAGGGGTTCCACTGAATGTCAGTGAAAATCATACGTGTGCTGACAAGACTTACTTAAATCTCCGAGAAGAGCTTATTCTAAAATTTTCTGAAATGTGCATTAGCTTTATAATAGAAATGCAACTTTATGAAACAAGAGAACAGTAAGTGTCATACTGAGATAAAGGGAGGATGGATTGTAGAAGTGGCTTACATTCACTTTACTCTCTGGAGTCTGTGGTTTTGGGCCAAGTCTGTCCTTTTATTCTGATACATTTTTTTTTTAATGTAATAATGAAGAGAGTCCCAAATGACCCTAATCAAAGTGGTTGGGCATTATGGAGTTAATGAGAGCTGTATATTTTAATATAGCCTATTCCTCTATGAAAAAAAATTTGCTAAAATCCTTAAGTGGGAATAAATTGCTTTAAATGTATTAGCATTGTTCAAGGGATGGGAAAATGTTGTGAAAAATGATTGTGTGGGATTTTTTTGTCATTGATGTGTTGGTGTGTTTCGCTTGGGTTGTTTTTCTTTAAAAATTTTCTAGTTTTTAATTATTTTTTTAAAAAACCTAAATAGTTTTGGTTTCAGTTCTTATGTGACAAACCATCTGAAGTTTCCTCAGAGCCAGACTAGACTAATGAATCTTCATACTAAGTTTTTGAAACAAGTCCTTTCTTTTTTCTGAAATCTCCCTCTGGATGAGGCTGAACTTGATGTTGCTCAATTTGTATTTGGAGTTTACGCTAGGGTAGAAAACTGAAGTTATTTAGTACCAAATTCTTATCCCCTTTCCCCTTCATAATACTTTAAATTTGTATGTTTTTTTCATTTTTGAAAATGATTTATTTGCATATGACTTTGCTCCCTCAGTAA